TAGTGATTGGATCGAACTCTTCGAGTCAGTGCAGATCATATGACTCAATTTGTTTCCAAGATCTATGTAACGAAGTGCCTGCATAATGGCATATAACTCACAAGAATAGACAGAGGCTTCTTTAGGTAATGTCCATGAGTGGGATATTCCTAGAGTTGTTAATGCCTGACCCGGAGGATCGTTCTGGAGTTTTTGATCCGTCTGTATATATAATTTGGCTTTCTGGGTGTATATTCGACCTGTATGTACCTACTTTCAAGAATTGGTATGTAATGTTATGAACCACAGCGAAAAACAAGCGATGCTGATGAAATCATGAGATGCGAGAATATTATTATCTAATACGCGAGGATATCGTGGCGCCTTCTTCCTGCTCCCATCTCTATTTCATGAAATTCGAAGTCAGCCGCCTTGATTTGTTCGCTTGCTTCCTCGCTGAATCCCGTGAAGGAGTCATAGACTGCGTTGATGGTGGGCTGGTTTTGTTCGTCGAACAAGTATGTTCCAACAAAAATGACGCAAAACCGAAAAGTGTGATGTGTGACTAGCAAAAACGACCATTTCGCAGCCACACCCTTCGGTTTTGCGTCATTTTTGTTCGAACAGACTCGTTCGTCAAACAAAACAGCCTATACCAACAGCGCAGTGTATGGACCCCTTTCATATTCCATCTCCTAATAACAACTGTGAAAAAAGTTTACTTAGTTCACACTTTTCCAACAAATAATGAAACCGTATTTAGATATTGAAAAATTGTACATTTAAGGCACACGAAATATATCGAAAGAGTGTAGTTTTTTGACAGTAGTAGGAAAAAGAATATAAATTTGAAATGTTAATCCATTTGAGTTTGAAGCAATTAATAACAGTAGTAGTATTATAAGGATTTCAAAGGATTATTTGAACCAAGTTCATTAAGTCGAAAATAGATCGTTTATTTTATTCCAAAGGAATGTCTAAAAATAAAACTATGATGGAGAAAAAGATTCATACTTGCTTTCATAACATTCTTGGCTGGTGATTGGGAAATATATTCTTTCATGCGATTTCCATTGGACAATCAGGCCAATATTTATCACAATAAATCCTATTTTTCCGATGATAAATCTATTTATTGTGTTTTAGAGACAGAAAAACTGTTTATCATTCGAGGGTGATCAATTCACAAAACCATGTAAAAAATATTAGCTTCTTTTTTTGAAGATCATCGGTATATAGAGAAATGAAGAGTCGTATCATCAGACGATTTCCATGATGATTAAAGGGTGGTATTTCATTCTCATTAAAATCACTTTTTCGATCACTTCATAATCATTGAAATAACAATACCATAATACACTTCTGACCAATTAGAAACGTGCTTCCCCTTTTTCGAAGAGATTTGAGTGCTATTGAAATTTGTGTTATAGATCTTTATATCGCCATCTATTGCAGAAGAAGGAGAATCTTGCACTTATCTATTACGTTGGCTGTTATGATTCAAAATATCAGAAATACTAAGGTCTGAATGGAAGTATTCCAATGGACAACTCCAGATGTATTATTTTGATCTGCGACAAGAAACGAAACTGATTGATGCTATTTGAACTTATTGAACATATTTTCCAATAAAAAGTACACTCGTCTTCAGTGAACATGTCGCGGTTGGACGGTATGAGCGCTCCTACTGCAGCGGTGATTAAGAGAGCTGACACCGTCCATGTACGCCATGTTCTCTGAAGACGACTGTACCTACTGTGTCTGTCGATACATGATACATTTTTTTTACACCATACAATTGATCTGGTTTAAATCTGGCCATTCTTACGATCTTCCAAATAATGTACCTATATGCAAGTAGGAAGAAAAAAAGTTAAGTATTGTGATTAGCCAAACGCGGAACATTCTCTACTTTTGGTAAGATTATTCAGTCCCTGAGAATATGGATTAAATATACAATTTTCATATTCAGATGACTCATATTTATATCACACCAATGAGACAGATTGCTCAAATCAAGTTGCCCATCACACATGGGTATATTCCTTAATATAGTGACTGTAGTGAAAAACTTCTGATATACACTGTAACGAAGTATCCTCTCCTACTATATAGTGTCTTGATAGTTTGACTGGTATTTTTAGAGCCCATTGCAGGGAGTTTGGCAAGATATAAGATGATCATAATTGACTGTCGAATGTTCGACAATTTATATATATAGAGTACACCTCTGTTGCCTTTCCCCAATACTGTTTGAAAGCCATGCAGGTTGATGTTGTTCTTCTGTGCTCCTTATTCATGTTTCTTATGTCAAGAGATTTTTTTAGCCGTCTAGTTAGTAATTTTCACGGAGCGATGATTTTTAATGTTATTATTATTTCTGGAAATCTCAATTCGGAGAGACTAGGAAAACCCTGCTTCCAGAATCCTGAGGATTGAATTGGCTTTACTAGAGTAAAATCAAGGATACTTCCCATTTTATTAAGAAAAACGAGAGTATCATAATTGCATACATATAAACTTTCTTCAACCGACGTTCAAGGATCTTTGGTAATTTGTTTTTGGATGTATGACAATTTGATATTCATCATTAACGACGTGGAACGAAATTCTGAATAATTGAGAAAACCTAATCACGAATCTGCGATTCAAGGTCTTTTTTTTATCGCTTGAAGCGCACGAAAGGAAATTCCTATTCTATCTATTTCAATTTCTCGAAAAATAATAGTCGTTTTTGAAATCAATCAAACAAAAACTAGCCCTGATAATTTTAATATTTTATATTGACTCATTGATAAATCGAAACCGGTTCACCGGTTTACCTAGACCAGGAGGGGGGGGGGTCATGACCTCCATGGATCCATCCTTGTCGGGAAAACTCAGGGACTAAAGTAAACGTCTAATGATTTTTTTTATTGCATATCCAGTACCTTAGTATCCATAACAAAAAATATGATGAAAGAAGTTGTTTTTTTTGTAAACAAGGTGGCTCAAACGATTGGTTGAAAAACAAGAATGTGCTAGTATTGACAATTCAAAAACAACTAAATACTATCTGAAGGATCTATTCAAGCACGTGGAATGCTGTCTTTGATAGAAGTTTTGGGATCATTGCTTTTCTCATCTCATTATGAATTATATCAAAACGAGTATTTGTAGTAGAGGACAAACAAATTACTGATATTGCCTGCCAATATGTAATTACAAAAAAGCAAATGATGCATAAGAATTAAATAAGCAACCGCATCCATCAGAGCATTGCCCAATGCTCATCTCATTCCGAACTGGAAATTATGTACAGTGTGTCCAGTTTTCGATGCTTTTGCGTGATATCTCAGTTATCTTTCGAGATAGAACCTTGCGGTATTCGCAGACCTGTGCCACGTTTTTGTGAAACTCATGATGGCCTAATCAGATTTGGCACAACTGTTTGCGTCTATGAAATACAGGGCAATTTTGGAAATTCATTATTTTTGGACCCCCTCTATATCTAAGAAGTTTCTCAGCGAAAATATTAAATTAAAATCTTTTCCCATAGAGAATTCCGCGCAAAATCCAGTGGCGCACTCAAAATTTAATTTTCGGGGTATGGTTTTGGAGATACGACTCAAACTTATGATTTTTCACATGGAACACCCTGTATTTTATGAGCTCATTAAATTCCTTATTCTTTCCCATCAATATGAAATATGATTTATGAATATAAAAATGCTCCAAAATCACTAAACCATTGAATTTTAATAGTGGGCTTGGGATTTCTCATTTAACAAAAGTTCCAATTGGAAGAATATTTCATTCGATTTTTCCATGAAAAGGACAAGAACAATCTCAACACTGGTTAACTGAGAAAACACAGAAATTAAGTACCTGATAGCAATAAATAAATAGTAATAAAAAGTTCATCATATAAAATAAGCACCTGATTGAATATTCACTAAGACGATCGAGTTTCGAAATTAATCAGTAACTTATTCATTGCATCGTTTTAATTGGAATCCATTTTTCCACACACTTTCTCAATACGTCTTGATGTTGATGCATTCAAAATCATTGAAGGATGTCTTTGTAATTCCTGGAAAACTGCCTCTGTTGTTGCACGAAGTTCTTCATGATTGTTGTGCCTCTTACTGTATCAAGAAGTATTCAGGAACTGTGTCAATTGTGTGTTGTGGAAAATGGACATCAATTTGAACAATTCAATGAATAAGTTATTGAACAATTCCGAAATTCAATTGTTTCTGTAAATATTTAATCTTGTGCTTATTCTACATTATGAACTTTTTATTGTTATTTATTTGTTGCTATCAGGTACCTAATTTTTTTGTTTCCTTAGTTAATTAGTGTTGGTATCGTCGAAAAATGGAAATGAATATTTCTTCAATTGGAACTTTTTATATGGAAAATCTGCCCACTATTAAAATTCAATGTTTTAGTGATTTTTGAGCATTTTTGAAAATGTTTTATCCATACATCATAGATGATCATGTTGAAGAGGAAAAATAAGGAATTTCATGAGCTTATAAAATACAGGGTGTTCCATTCAATAAATCATAAGTTTGAGTTGTATCTCAAAAATCATACCCCGAAAAAAAAAAGTTGAGTGCGCCACTAGATTCTACGTTAAATTCTTAATGGAATGAGATTTTAATTTGACTTTTTTGCTGGGAAACTTCGTAGATATACATAGAGGGGATTCAAAAAGTATAAATTTTCAAAATCGCCCTGTATCTCATAAACGGAAACAGTTATGCAAAATCGTATGGGTTTCACAAAAAAGTGGCATAGGACCGAGAAAACCGTTTTGAAGTGGCGATTCCCAATTGTTTCAATGAAATAAAGTAGTAGGCCCTTCTACGCCTTTAGCAGAATGCACAAAATGCATCAAATGCCATCATAAATAACCCCCGAATCCATCCTACCCACTGAGTCACGCACGCTTGAGTGGGCGCTAGATCCGAGTACCTAACGCGCACGCGCTACTCAGCGCACGCTTTATTCCTTCAGGCAGCGTCGCGACGCTCATACGAACGACTCGGCCCCCACTGAAAGGCGGCAAACAGAGCACGCGGGTTTCCACGCTGAAATTTTCGACGGTCAGTGCATCCACGGTTCCAGTTCCAGCCACCCCCAAAATGTCTTCGTCTGTTGCGAGGACTTCTAAGTACTCCTACAGGTCCAGCGGCGCTGCAGGAGGATCTGCTGACGTCAGCATCGAGTACAGCGCCGATCTGACTGCCCTTTCCAGGCTAGAGGTAAAAATACCGTGACCGGATCGGATTACCACCGTTTTTGTGCTCCGGGTGGCGTATCTCTGATGTGATCGTGGTGAAAGTGGTTCTGCTGGGAGTATGAGGAAGAGCGGAAGTTTTGGAACATGGTATACAGGTTTCGCATTGGAATAAAAACGGGTAGTGATTGGTATTTGGTGAGCTAACGCAGCCATGTTTGAAAATAGGTGCAATTCAAAAATGCCTCATAAATCTGTACTGGAGTAGAAGTAATTGCCTCGGAAAGATAATCTCTTTTTTCTGCAATCGACTCAGAAGTCGTCCATTTTTGTTTCAAAATTAGCTCTTGAAGTTGAAGTTTCTCTTACTGACACAATAAAATGATTATTATTTATGTTGCTAGGCGATATTTTTAGTGTCTAGAAACTAAAGTTGACGTTTAACTCCTAGGAACTAAACGTAGTTCTGCTGATTGCTACTTTGACACTGAATGAGTCAAGAAAGTGGTAACTTCACTTATTTTTTATTGATCAGATATCAATTATTTTGAATGCAGAAAAAATAGCATGTTTCATTTGGATCAAAAGTGACTCTGTTTGACTCGCAAAATATGCGTGCTCGGCTTCGTGTCCCTTCGCCTCGCAAATAAAATCGCTTGTCAAACAAAGTGTCACATTTGATTCTAATTAAACAATCTACTATAATTGAGTATACCGTTTTATCTATATTAACAGAAAAATCGGTGGTTGGTGAATTATTTCCTTCCACTTTATGAAAAAAAAGTGTCAAAAAGTGGATCGATAGATAGGTATACCTAGATGGAATAACGTAAGTATGACCTTATTGCATGAAGGCTGATTGAATCATCTATTTTTCTTCACACCAAATCTACCGAAGAGTTGAACATGCAAAGTTGAACAATAATTCATGTGCTTTGCACTCAGTTAAAATGCTTCATACGAAATGGAAATAAAGGCTAAAAATAGTTAAACTTCAGTACGAATTATTCAGGGTTGGTATGTAACTCGGTTCAAAAGTTTTCTTTCAGAATTAAAGAGTTCAAAGTTAAATCAAATGGTGGCTAATCTTTTTGATCCACAAAGATACCTAGCGACTGGACTTATATGAGTTGATGAAATGGCTTACCACTGCTTTGAGTTATAATTATATACTCGTGCTTCTGAGCAAAAATATATCTACCCACACTTCCAAAAATAAAACATATAGATGATTCACGAAATGGTTATCAATACACAAATATTCATTCTGTAAAAATTGGAGCTATTACCTATTCATTGTGAGAAACACCTAATAGGTGATACTTAGGTGAGCGATCTCGAGTGTAGTTGAAGATCATGAGCATTCTCCATATGAATTAAAGCACTGAGCATGCTTTGACATTTTTGATTTTTGTAAGAAGTAGGTACGTTTTATATCGTCTTTCACGTTTCAACTCGGCAATGTATTGAAGGTCAACAAAATCTAGATAAGCTCTTCACTGGTAAATTTCATGAAGTTCTGTAAACATTTGGTATTTTTGCAGGATAAAATCCGTCTGCTTCAAGATGACCTCGAAATCGAAAGAGAACTCAGATCTAGAGTGAGTACAGTACACATTTTTGCGAATAAGCTAGGTTGCCGCTTCCTACATCCATTCCTTATTATAACTCATCAGTTATGAGTGAACCATTTATATAAAGCTTATGCTTGATTGTTTGCTAACAAATTCGTTGAGCTTGATATGGAATTTCTTCAGAATGACGCAATAAGATAGAAATAAACACGCAAGTAAATTATTCATGGAGATCAAGAAACCGTATAAGTAGTATATAACCTGATGATTGATGCACTTTTCCTATACAAAAGTCTATATTGCTATGAAGGTTCTTCGAAGATCCGTGTAAACAAGTTAATCATAGATTGACAATTAAGTATCATCGCACTGAGTAGGTATATACACACGAATATACTCACCTACTTCATCAGATACTGAAGTATTTTCTTTCGTAATTACTCATTCAAGTAATAGATGCTTTTAGTAGAGTGATTCAACTAGGATATAGAGCATCTATTTTAAATTTGGCAAGGTGTGGTTTGGTTCAGAAAGTTCATGAGCTATTTCAGACGTACAAAATAATAATATATCTACAATTATTCCAGTTGCTACCTACCTATGAAACCAATATTTGTCTAGGAATTCCAAACATTTCGACAGCATTATCAATTGTGAACTGTTTGAAAAACTCACATAGGACTTGGTATTTGAAAACTACGGAGGTAAAGTTGTGCAAAAAATACCGCTGGATCGTTATCGAATGTATGAACATACCTACCTCTGTAGGTACTGAATACTGAAATGGTCAAAAACCTGACTATAGAGGTACAAATAAAGATTCAATATTATTTGTAGTTTAACTGAGATGGAGGGATATCTGTTTCCCTGAATTTATGCGATTTCCTCTTCTCCTTTATATAAATAGAGTATTATTAATATCTAATTGAGTATTATTCCAAGATATTTGTTGTAGAAAAAAATCAGGAGATTTACATCAAATGCGTTTGTAATATCACCGTAAGAATCTTAGAATCAAAATTGAATCGATGGTCAATAAAACTTTGTTTGGAAAATATCTGAAGAAGAGAAATATACCCAACTTTGAACGAAGAAACAAAACCCAAAAATTGATTGAGATATGAATGAATATTCATTCGAAACTCACATCAACTTCACTATTTTAGATTTATATCAGGGTTGAAACTTCAACTGAAATAAATTAGCTAGAGGAAAGGAGAATATATCTTCTGATAATTACCGACAAATGTCAACATCTTGATGCATTTACCTGTATTTTGCAAGCAATCGGACTCATATAGTATATATAATATAATATATTTTTTTTGTCGGGGTGTTTTAAATCCTTTATGGACACCATATGGGTTCAGTCCCCCATATGATAGTGTGGGACTCCCCTGACTCTATCCAGGGTTTACCCACTAAAAACTCCACCCCGTTTGTAGGCTCGTCTGACCAATCTATCCGACAACACTTAGGCCTATGGTGGCCCATTGTATCTTACTAAGGCTGTGTCAAGTCATTCGTTCAACCACATTGGTGATATCAGAATGGTCAATGTTTGACTCGACTCCCGTCAAAAGTTAACATGGTGACTTTTTGGGCAGGTTTGAAACGTGACCGATATTCCCAAACAGCTGATTGATCAGACTGATGATCAGACTTCAAACTGAACTTATGCGCCCGGTCAAACCACAGACTGACACAGCCCTAGTAGTTCTTTATTGTGCCTACTCCATTATCCCTGTACCTTGAACAAGTCTGTACAAATCCTTCACTGGATGTGAGTTGAATACTTCTGGTTCGCCAACTGGTTGCCCAAAGATCTACTGTCTTCTGCGGTCTAATGCCTCACATCGGCACAGAATATGTGCTACTGTTTCTGGTTCCTTGCCACATGCATGGTCTGCAGCTTGGGTCGCCATTGTACAGTCCCATTCTGGCGAGATGCTCCTTTACTGGCGCATGGCCAGTCATGAGTCCCGTAACAGTTTTTATCTGTGCTGTATTATAATATATAGTACCCCATGGATAGATGAAACTCCCTCAACATGTTTTTTTCAAATGCAACCCTATATGAATGGCCTGCGACACGTCTCTGGAAAGCTGATGGAAAGAGGAATCCAGTATACTGACCAAATTTGAGTTTGTAGTACGTTTCAAGGTTGAAATTTAATTTATCCCCAATGTAAGAATTGCTCAAAATATGCGTGTTGAGCTCAATTTTCAAATCTCCCTAAGAATAATTCAAAGCAAATTATTGCTACTACTGATTTCTGTTTGTATGCCGTATTCACAATTCGAAACAGAGAGTGTTGCGATTCGGTGAATATGACTTATTTAACTGAATCGCAAAAAATCGAAATTTTGATGAAAATACAGATATTGAACCTAAAAATTATGTTCTGATTTCATGTTACGCTCATACATACTACAAACTAAAATTTGATCAGTACGCTGGATTCCAATTTCTACCAGTTCTCCAATGAGGGGTAATGAGGGTTGCATATCAAAAAAACATATTGGGTCTGATTTCAGGTACACCTGATGTGCCATATTCTTCATATTGTTTGCAACATGTAGGAAAATACATCGAAACGTTGACGTATTTCGCGAATTTTCAGGAAAGTCTTTCCCGCTAGCGAATTAATTCCAGTTAAAGTCTTCACTCTGGTTTGATATAGGACAAAAAAAAATTCCATTTGTTTTAATCTGACACTTCGATCATAGGGTTTTTCAATACTGCCAAAAATTGAGTTTGTGCCCTATAATGTGGCTTTTCCATGAATATAAACTACTGATTTCGATAAAAAAATTCCCATTCAGTTCATATCATTGAATAAAATGGCCACTGATATAGTCAGGTAAATCCTGGACAGCCCCTTCGACATCTGAAAGAACTGTGTAGCTCCATTTTAATCATAATCAGTATGTGTGAGCATTTCTCTCTGCACCGTACTGCGAAAACTTGAAGAATTTCTGACAGATAGGTTTAGTCGGGAATGGATTGAATCTACGGGCTTGAGGCAGGCGAAGATCTTCATTGGAAGGCCTTCGATACGTCTCACCCAATCCCTCCTGTATATGCGAAGAAACCAATGCAGAGTTGTCACTGGTTTACTAACTGGGCACTGCCGCCTAAACAGACATCTAAACATTCTGGGTAACTCCGTTGACCCAACGTGCCGTTTATGTCTTGAAAACGACGAAACTCCCATACACATAATATGTGAATGTACTGCGCTGATACAGCTAAGATGGCGGAGTTTCGGACACAGTATTCTTCCAGTGGAAGAAGCGCCAAAAATCCAGACTACCAACATCATCGTCTTCGGCAGAGCTGCGGGACTCTTATGAAGAATGCCACACGTACGGGGCGATACAATGGGTCCACAATAATAGCACTCTTATTGTCTGGACTTCGACAAGTCCCTCAGACGCCTACTCAATCAATCAATCAATCATGTGTTTCTCAAACTGCCCTGATGCTTGCGTACTAACATAGGAACTTTAAAGTTTCCTCAAACAATTGGGAAATATGTGGATATACAGGGTGTCCCGAAATTAGCCAGCCGAACTCCACCAGCGGCTTTTACGACCAAAAATAGAAAGAAAACTGTCAATGAATATGAGTCGAAAAATGTCTCCTAAGGAAGCTTGAGCCCCCTGAAGTGGGGCTCCTGAAGATGATATTTCTTGAGTATTTCCGAAACTCCATGTGATGAAAAGATGCAGTTTGGTAAAATGAGTAAAATTCCCATGCCCAATGCAGTGTAAATAAAATCATTTCAAAATTTCAATCGAGAGTGTATAATACAGGGCGGGACTATATTAAATATGGCTCGAAATGATTTGTATGCATATTTTCCTACAATTTCATCTCGGATCATGAAATTTCATACCTCTATACAGAAAAAAGGTATTCTTGTTCCTTCCTTATTATCGAGTGAAAGCAATTCAAAAATATTGTTATATCTCAGATATTATGCATAACATTGCATTGAGGCGTAGTGGAAATGGAAAAAAGTGCACAAACATTGAAGTTGTTTTTTCATCATCATTTTCCTATTTTTCGCGCTTTCATGAGATTATTTGGTAAGAATAAAGTACTTTATTTTTTTATAGCCACTATGATTTGAAAATCGGCAACGTTGCATAAGATGTGAGTACATCAATATTTTTAAATCGATTTCACTCGAAAATGATACATCTGATCGATGCGGAACGAAAGCACCATTTCTCGTGAAACGGTGTGAATTTTCATAATCCGAGATAGAATTGTCAAAAAAAAGGCATACGAAAAAGTTTGAGAAATATTTAATGTAGTCCCACCCTGTATTATCCTAGTTTCATTTGTTTAACAAATTTTTATCATATCTTTAGTTATAGTTTTTTTTCATGTATACCATTCACATTTTAATGCAAATATTTTTTGTATGACGAACCGATCATGGTATTATGGCAAAAACGGTGAAATATTATCTATCTATCTATAAACTCCTGAATGGAACTTTGAAATGATTTTATGTTAACCGCATTGGGCATAGAATGTTCAGTTTTGATACCAAATTGCATCATTCTATCACTTGGCGTTTCGGAAATATTCAGGAAATATCGTCTTCAAGAGCTCCGTCTCAGGGGATCGTAGCTCCCTTAGGGGACATTCTCGACTCATATTCATTGGAACTTCTCTTCCTATTTTTTGTCTCAGAAGCCGCTGAAGTTTGGCAGGCTAATTTCGGAACACCCTGTATAATGAAAAATTCTCATGAAATTTCAGATCGAGAGGGAGAAGGCTGACCTCAGCGTCCAGGTTATCCAGTTATCTGAACGTTTGGAAGAGGCAGAGGGTGGAGCTGAAAGCCAGGTAAAATCTAGTACTACCGATAATTCCCAACAAGAAACTTATCTATTCCTATTTAACAGTTCGAAATCAACAAGAAACGCGATACTGAACTCATGAAACTGCGAAAACTCCTGGAGGATGTCCATTTGGAATCAGAAGAGACAGCCGCCATTTTGAAAAGGAAACACCAAGAAATCGTCGTAGACTTCCAAGAACAAATCGATTCAATGGCCAAAGCCAAATCAAGGTGAGTGCTGGATGCTATAAAAATGGTGAGAGAATATTCCTTCCTTGTTGGGTTCTTATCAGGTATTACAGCGACATGGAAATGTCAATGCCAACCTTCTAGATTTTGTGATGATGAACTGTATGATGAGTTGGCCACTATAGTAACAGAGCTAATACTGCTAGTTTTCTCCAAAAATACTTTTGATGACATGTCTTTAGACGACGAATAATACACATAATCCATATCGTCTCGTTTTGGAATCTTCTTACAAGACATTTTTTCCACCAGTAGCTATAGAGCCTACCATCATCTACTCCTCTTCAAGGCGTAAAGTGTGTCGTTACTACCGAGGTAATTTGCGTCATTTTATGAAATACTAGTCAATAAAGACATAGCCACAACTGTTATAATGAACCCCAATCCACTGTTCTGACGCGATATTCGCAAGAATTGCACACGAATCTAGAAGTTATTTATCAATAACGACCTGTCATGCTGTCATTGTCATGGCTTCTAGATTTTAATCAGAATTGAAAACAAATGCTTTCATAGTGACGATAGGTCTATATGACACTCTCACAAAACTATAATGATTGAAATTTATCTGAAAAAAAAAAAAAAAAAAATTTACACCTTGGTCCTGATTCATGATGATATATTTTACTACCTTGGTGTATAAATAACTATTAGAGTGTAGCGCTGGCTTTAGTTGCTATGGAAATCGATGAATGTTGATGATGGTTGTGACCTGTTGTGTACGAAAAATATTTGATATGCTGTTAGAACATAGTTGGAGAATGGATCAAAATAAGTGGCAGTCCCACATTATATCTGGGACAAGCTGTTGCTAAAACCAGCTGGAGACAAATATCTGGAAGGAAAATGGTGATTCACTATATGGTCATGACTATCAAGAGTGGTTGCGACATTTGACATTTAATGTTTATCAGCAAAGGAGTTAGGAGGCAAAGTAACGGGAAGTCGATTTTTCTAAACTTCGAAAATTCCTGATGAGGTTTTTCTCAATTGTGAATGCATATTGCAAGGCTAACTATGATTCCATTTCGACAAACATTATTTTGCAGAATCAACATTGTGTAATACATATATTACAACCAATGCACGTCATATCAATGGCCTCTTCATTCTCCATTTTGACAAAAAAATAAGGAATCAAATAGTTAAATTTTTGTACACCCCGACCTTCTTGGGACTGTTGATCACAACAACTATGAATGTAATATCGAAGGATATTGATCTGTATACGGATTCAGTCTTATAATAGAAATTTGGAATCAGCTTGATATTAGTCTATCAGTTCCTGTTACTCAATATTCTACTGGGGTTAGTGATCTCATATTCCCACAAATCAGCTCAATATGGAATTGGAAACAACTATTTCCTTCTAACCATGGAATGATTTCCAGAAGGTTTGATTTCATTCTGTTCATTGTAGATAAAGATGCTTCCTCACTATCTGTAGTTGTGAAATGTTATCCACCTCAATGGAAAAAAATTATAAGTATGTGAATTGAGAACTCTTCGAAAAATATATTGGACGATATTACTTATATAATCCTCATAAGTAGAGGCCTAACTTTTCATGATTTATTATCAAATTTCATGTACTTATCCAGTTGTCTCTCCATGGCTCAATTTTCTTTGTTATTCGTGTTCTCAAAATTACATTATGATAAGTAGGCACTTATGTACTTCAAACCTGGAATAATTCACCACAATTCAGTATTTTTTCTTTCATTTCGTAAGAGAATATGAACAACTCGACAGATGAAGTCAGCTGTTGGGAATAAATGAGGACACAACAGATGTCAGATGTTTAAAATGACTACTATTTATAATTAGAAAATATTTAGGTATTCGATGATGTGTTTGTAATTTTCTCATAAATATTGAGTATGAGCTCTTCTTACAACTCAATTGTCCGATATCTTATGAAGTTTCATAATCGAGAATAATACGATTCAATTCCTCTTTAGCAGACGAAACTGGTAGAAACACGATTCAAACAAAATGTAGTTTTTCTGCAATCGGCTCAAAAGTCTTCCATTTTTATTCCAAAATTAGCTCTTGAAGTTGATGTTTCTCTTACTGACCAAATATAATGATTATTATGTATGTTGTTAGGCAACTCTTTAAGTGTCTAGGAGCTAAAGTTGAAGTTTAACTCCTGGGAACTAAGAACGTGTCGGATGACAACTGATATGTTATGATATTTTATTAATCAGATATCAGTTATTGCGATTGCAGAAAAAATAGCATGTTTCATTCGGATCAAAAGTGAATCTGTTTCAACCTTGAATTATTCATCCGCTTTAATTGTTATACTTCGATATTAATAAAATTTTGACCCATACTGATTCAAAACAAAACAATGATACTGTTGAAAAACATTGAGTCAGACCTGACAATAGCTATGAATTTGATGAGACTTCCTATAAAAAACTCCGCTGATGACAAAAATGGGGTAGGATGCCAACATAATTCATTCGTGAAAAACTCTTACTCTTTTTTTTTCATGTCGTTCTTGAAATTGTGGAGGAGACAGAGACAAAGCTCGCATATAATTATACAAATAAAAATATCAGATTAGATAATCTTGCTGATATGTGTATTATTCGGATGAGATCGTTTGGCATCGCCTTGTTAAAAATAGCTGCGCCATATATCGTTCCCATATTTGTCCTGGCTAACTCCATCGTTCTGTATGAATGCCATTCCATAGAAATTAATATGAAATACTTCACGGATTACGAGTGTGAAGTTTTTTTATTTTTGAAAACTGAAGGAAATTTCAAATGGGGACGAGTCCTCTCCAGGTGTGTTACCGTCGGGCTAAAAAGTAGTACCTATGTTAGTTTCGACATAGATTGAAAATACCATTTTAATATATGGTTTCGACAAAATTTCAACATGGTTCCTACTTCCTATGAACGTATACAGATCGATCTGCGAGCGAAACTAACGTTGTCCTTTTTTCTGCACGATATTCAAAGGGTGGCAAACCATTTTTTGAGCTGACCGTACATATAAAGGCAAAGCACCTCAAGCATTATACGGCCAAAATTATGACAAGTGACTGCAGGTTTCCAAGTAAAACATCCATGTCGTGTTTGGTATCATGACTTGTATTGGCTTACTTGTCTCTATAGACAATTAAGTTGTTGCGGCCATCTAGTGTGCGTAGGTATATTTTTTGTTGTTATCTTTGAAAAAGTCAAGAGGCATACAAGTGAGATCATTTTTTCAAATTTATTAGTTTGTAAAATATCACTTTCTTTGTACATTAGCAAGAGCGCTGAGGGGCTTTGCTGGCGGAGTTTGGAGCGAAAGTATAATTTTTTACCCCTAAGTGCTTTTCGCCGCTGTAATTAGTAATACTCATTGTAAAAATATTCTTAATATCATGTACATTCGGGAACATCCGTGGAATATTGAAACTTTTTATCAACTGCACAAAGCCTTTGGGGTTCTGGTAGAAATATAATGCTCGGCCTCCTTTGCTCTGCTTCTTATAAATTCACTGTTGTCCAGTTCATGCAGCTTCCATAAGAAACCAAACTTTGTGTTGACTGTATTATGAATAATTTGCCAGTTTTTTAAATGCACTTTGAGAAAATTTATAGCTGCATAAAAATTATCAACGATGTAAGGTCGTATCCCTTCTCAACTCACTCAATATTCCATGTTTTAACTTTAGCGGGCCCTTTCCCCCCGATCATCGCGCCCTAGGCTTCAGCCTAATTAGCCAAATTGTTAATCAGGCCCTGATTTCACCAGGAAGTTTATCCGAATGAGATTTATGAAAAAGCTGATGGGCATGGCATGTAGCCAAAAAATTCAAGTGCTAAAAAATCACCCAATTACCTCTGAGGGTTGAAGAATTCACATGGAAATATCACGGGGTAATCTGTGACGAGAACACAAAAATTTACTACTCAAAAATAAAAAAAAAAGATTCACGGGTTATTCTCATTGATAAATTGGAATTGCAACATTCAATCAGGATAGCCAACAGAACAACACCAGAGCAGTCATGTGATAGAAGGGATATATTTTGATATTTGTACTATACAGGGTGGCTCAACGAAAACAAAACAAAACAACGAGACTGAATTACATCTGAAAAAATGATTTTTGGAAAAAAGATTTTCAATTCACACTTTTCCATTAGATCTGTACAGTCCTCAATGTTCTTTCCCCTTCCATACTTCACTGACTAATAGAATTTAAATAGAGATGGCACCATATATAATCACACAATATCAAAACAATTTTTGATGAATAAAAATGTGATATGAATAGTGTATATAGACGCAATTTTTCTCAATTCTCCATTCAAATTCTATTAGTTAGAAAAGTGGAAGCAGTAAGGGATGTGCTGGAAATGTGTCCACCAAGGACTTAAATTCCATGTATTTTACTGTTTTCTTCAGCAAACATTCTCATATAAGACTCATTCAGTCTGCTCAGTTTTCCTTGGGCCATCCTGTTCGATGTTCGATCTCTTGAATTTTTTTGATCCATTATTAGAGGAAGATATGGAACATGAGGCTTGTGGAAATTGATATACGAGAATAAATGCCAAGACCAAGCCATTTATCTCAATAGATCTCGCTTTTTGCAGCGGATCAGAAAAATACGTCGAAAAGTTGTAAAACAATTGAGAAATTCAAAAAAAGCTACTATGACAAAAAGTTTTCAATTTGCTAATACCTAGTGCCAGAAGCAATTCACGGAATCGTCACATTGCAATGAGTCAAAGGAAAGAGCGAAAAGACTAGAACACGGCCACATCGTCTAAAAATAATCGTTTTCAAAACGTTTACACCTATCCCAAGAATTTGGAGCACATTTTCCGTAGCATATTTCAGGAACTAAAAATAAACGCGAAATGTTTATGGGACATTCAGGAAACCTGTGACTTAGTGAAAATTATCTTTCGTTCCAAAGCGAAAATTACGATTTCTAGCCGTTAACGTGGGCTCATAAATTGAATCCGACTGAGTAACACATTAAATGTGTCTAGGAAATCGTAAATTACTTCTCCTGTGACATAATAATCATCATGAAATTGATGGAATACGCAGAGTCTCTTTAATCAAAATATTTGTTATTTCATCTATTGAATTGCAAGAGAGAAAATCCCTATAGTTGGGTAATCAACTACATTTATATTATGGTGGAATTGGGTGAATTGGCCAATAGGATGAGTAGACCAAAGAGGTTTATAAAAAAACAGGAATTTGAATGAAGATTCCACTTTATACGAAATAAACAACTAGCATTCTTTGCCACAGAATTCGTAAAAATATTCAAACTTTAGTGATTTGATATGAAACAAGTACCTATCATGCCGAAGATAAGCAGAAATCAGCAGTATAAATATATTCCGTTAGTATAGAAATAAAAATCTTTTGTACCTTTATTTTCATAACTTGTACGAATGAAGTGATGAAAGCGTATACAGGGTGAGTCGTAACTATTGGGACCTAGGCATTTGGACCAAAATATTGCGGTAGGACCAAATATGCCTTAATAAAATTTCGCTGTGGAAACATACAGGTCGTTTCAATCGAAAAAGTATTGACTATAAACTCGTACCAAAATTCATTCTCTGACAAGAAATGTGATTTACCAGCAACAATGATCTGACATTCCAAACCACACGTTTCATAAATGAAATAATATTTGAAATCCTCCTCCACGAGACATTGAACTGTTCAATTGCGTTTGTCTCGAAAACGGATGAGGATATCGTACTCAAACAGGAGTACAATATTACGTAAAAATGATGTTTATGTTATATTTTCAAATAAAATCACTAAAAAGTTCCGTCAAAAAAGTTATCAGTCGATATTATCTTCAGGAATCATTAACGTGGCGTCCCCTGTAACAAACTTTAGGAAAATACATACAATAATATTCCCTGTATAAAATTATGCCTATGCACCGATTTTGATAACAATTGAATTGATAAACAAATTTAACGCCCTGTATCTTTTTCTACAGCAATATTTCCCGATAGTTATGACTCACTCTGTATAGCAATTTACGCCTACAGCTGGCTAGTAGTTTGATAACGTCTCGGTAGTGGTCATCAGATTTGATTTGATGGAGGAATATGTGAAACCATCACAGGTTCTCTTTTATGTACAGCAAAACCCATTAATTACCTCTTTTCCCGATCACCAAAATTGCCATCGCACATAGTAAGAAATCTTCAACTTTATCGAGTAGATTTTAGCATGGCGAATATTATTCGAAATTTCTTCGTATTTTCGCAAGCATTCAGGTATAAACAATATAGAAGGCGAATTATTGAAACGGTTCATTAGGCGTACCAGGTTGACCAGACAATAGATCGTTTCAAAAAATGAGACGATCGTATAAACGAATTCGCTCTATCTTTCTGAAATAATTGCAATACTGCGGTGTTGTCGCTTCTACCAAAAAGTAGTGGTACCTTTGATGTTTCGAATTAAACACCCTGTATTTCATTGCATTTTTGAATTCTCCCTGCAGAGCTCATTTCATCAATACATCACACTTGGGGTCCAGCGGGAATGATTACAGAGATATAGAGTGTTCAAAATTTTATAATTTTTTTGTGTCGAAACTATTCGTTATTGGCCAGAATGGCTTACATGTCCCTGTCTCAACTTCTGATTCACTCTCTACTGACATTTTATTGAAACAAATGCAGAGTGGTTCAAGTTTCAGAATTCCGATCACTCTGTATTTGTTCCAATTGAATGTCAGTAGATAGTAAATCGAAAATAAGGATAGAAACATGTCGTCAGATGGATGCCAATGCTGATGTATTGATGGAATCAACTCCGCAGGAAGAATTCGGGAATGCAATGAAATACAGGGTGTTCTATTTGAAATATCAAAGTTGCTACTACTTTTTGGTAGAAGCGGCAACACCGCATCATTGAAATTATCCTAGACAGATAAAGCGATATTGTTGATGCGATCACCCCAACTTTTACAACGATTCATTGGCTGGTTTGCCAGAAACGTCTAATAAACCGTTTCAATCAATCACCCTATATTTCTTCCAATGTTACAGGGCCGAAAAAGAGAAGAGCAAATTCCAGTCCGAAATCTACGAACTCCTCTCACAAGTCGAGAGCGTCAGCAAGGAACGCCTGATCGCCGTCAAACAAGTGGAAAGATCCGAGATCACCATCTCCGAACTGAACGTCAGAATCGAAGAGCTCAACCGCACCATAGTCGACATCACTTCCCACAAGACCCGCCTGTCCCAGGAGAACATCGAGCTGACCAAGGAAGTCCAAGACATCAAAGTCAACCTCGAGAACGCCATCTACCTTAAATCCCAGCTCGCCGGCCAACTAGAAGATGCTCGTCGTCGCGCCGAAGATGACGAGAGAAGACGATCTCTTCTGGAAGCTAACCTCCACCAGGTGGAAGTTGAACTAGAGTCCATCCGCGTCCAGCTAGAAGAAGAGAGCGAAGCTCGCCTGGACCTGGAGCGCCAGCTGGTCAAATCCCAAGGCGAGGTCCAGGTGTGGAGGTCAAAGTTCGAGTCGGAAGCAGCAGCCCGCGCTGAAGAGGTAGAGGAAATCCGCAGGAAGTTCAACATCAGGATCCAGGAGCAAGAGGAGCACATCGAGGCTCTGTTGGTCAAGGTCAATAACCTGGAGAAGCAGAAGTCTCGCTTGCAGTCCGAAGTGGAGGTGCTCATCATCGACTTGGAGAAGGCCAACAATACCGCTAGAGAGCTGCAGAAGCGTGTGGAGCAGTTGGAGAGGATCAATATCGATCTGAAGACTCGCTTGGATGAGACCGTGCAGTTGTACGAGCAGAGCCAGAGAGATCTTCGTACGAAGGTCAGCGAGCTCCAACGTACTGTGCACGAATTGGACAAGACTCGTGAACAGAAGGATCAACTCGCAAGAGAAAACAAGAAATTGGCTGGTAGGTTCGACAACGAATAATCATCCTTGACTTTTTCCTATGAAATCCAGGCTATTCCACTATATTAGGAATTGAAAAACCCATGATTACATCATCCAATAGGGTACCCCCTTAACAAGCCCCAGAGAAGACAAACAAACAACACGAAGACTACACTTATTGAAAGTGACGCATTCTCATTGCACACAAACGAAAACACTGACTAGCAGCTCTGAAAGCCGTTAGGCTGAGCTCAACTTGACACTTAGGAAGGGTGATCCAAAAGTAAAAATTCAAAAAAAGATAATGACATGAGGACTACTCCAGGAGGAGTAGGGGTTGGTTGACAAGTCTCAAGGGACACTCATCCAGTAAAAAGGATGGGTGTATTTCGAAATGGAACCTCACAGAGAAAGGCACCAGGGGGGATGGGCGAGGTACCTCAATATGTTCGTCCATAATAGTGATAGAGTCTAGCAGGGGTTCTCTTCAACTGTTTCAATATGCTCGTCAATGATACAGGGTGCTAATTTATTGAGTACCGGTATACAAGGTGAGATTTCCCAGGTGATTTTAACCGAAAAAGTTTATATCAACATCCTAAACCTATCAGTTTTTGAGCTACAGGGTGTGAAAATCAGAAGCGTACAATATTATGAATGAAATGTGAACATCGCTGGTGGAAATAAAAATTGATTTTAGTCACACAACGAAATGTGTTTTCACTTATAGTGGGTGCCTGACAAATTTTAACAAAATACCAAAAACAATCTCAATGAACTGAAGAAAAAAATTGTTTGGTTTTTATTTTTTACGCGAAATTGCTCCAAAATTGATGATTATTTCAAAAATAATATTGGTTTCTAGAAATATGAGTGGCGAACCATTATTTTCTTCAAATATTATCAGTTCAAACCCCGTACGGACGTCAATGGTGAAAATTTTCAAAAATCTTTCACGTTAAGAATTGCTCCCCAGTGATGAAAATGTGTGTACAGAATTTCATAGGAATATCTGAGAGTTACAAAGAATTATGATGAAAAACTCACTTTTTTCTCAACATTTCTACACCCTGTAGCTCAAGAATTGAGAAGTTCAGGACATATGATGATGTGGACTCTTCTCCTCGAAATCACTCGAGGATTCACACCTCGTATTATCCCGACACTCAATTAATGAACACTCGGTATAGGTGGGGCTAGCAAGAGTTCTTCATTGGATTCGCCATTCTACAAGAATTATTTTTACGAAATCTAGGCTATATATTACATAAATTTTATCACTTTTGACTACCTCAATATCTCCTTTGATAGTAGTGGTGGAGTCTAGCAAGAGTTCTTCGTATCAGGTACACCATTTCGTCTCAATATTTCAATAATATCAAATAATAACTCCAATAATTTTCGAGAAAGCAATTAAATGTTGAAGTCGATTTTCCTAGCCTCAAACACCCATATTGAGGTTTAATCTCTATATTAATTCGAAACAGTTGATTTATTACTTCGAAGCCTATAGCAGAATGAACTTTGCTTTGCATCCAGGGGCTAGGAAAAAGTAGAATCTTCACTGTGTGCCTAAAACTCAATTCTTAGTTGACAATACTGAGAATGTATAGGTACATACTGAGTATGTGATGTGATGTCCCTTTAATCATATATGAGATCTCTGAGGCCTCTAATAATACAGAGCAATTTGAAAGACTGTCTTGAGTATATCCTCATGGACCATTTGTCAAGATTCACTGTAAGGAATCAATTTTAATCCCCTGAAGAATACAGTACTTTTTATTTAATCAGAATACCATGAGACTCCTAATTATTTTGGTTCTCATTATTGATACGTGGGTGACTCAAATCATTTCCAAAGTAGTTGTTTCATGATGAATTATTTTTTCAATGCAGATGACCTTTCCGACAGTAAGATAACTATCACTGAACTCACCCGCCGCCTTCATGAAATGGAGTTGGAACTCCGCCGTCTAGAAAATGAACGTGAAGAACTCACTGCTGCCTATAGAGAAGCTGAAGCTGTAAGTATGGATGTTCTAAAGTGACATTCTATCTAACAATCACCCTAAAAACTGAAGATTTCTGATCCAAACTCGTATCTGAAAATGTAGCAACAAAATAAGTTATATTGATTGACAATAGCATATGATTTATTAGATGTAATCGAATTTTGAAATCAACATGATGATTATTTAATTGTCCATGATCATCCTCAGGGTCGTAAAGCTGAAGAGCAACGTGCTCAACGTCTATCAGCTGAGCTGGGTCAATTCCGTCATGAAGCAGAGAAACGTCTGCAAGAGAAAGATGAAGAGATTGAAGCAATTCGGTGAGTATTTGCATACCGTCTATTAATGAGAATATGAAAAATTAACAATTTCAAATTGGGTATTGTTTATTACATAAGGAGACGAGTAATAACAGGTCTTCTTCAGTACATTGTCATACAGTTTCCAAAAATAACAATTTGTTTTTGTTCCGTATATACATTGTATACACACTAGTCGAATTTACATCAAAACCTGTTTGACGACGGTATATGAATTTTATATATTATCGTGTTTTTCAATGCATTTTCGAAAACTTTGTTGAGCCCTGAGATAAAAAAAAAATAGTGACAGTGAACTAGTTTGAGTTAGTACTACAAGATGATAAAATAGAACTTTCCACTGAAACAGACCCATTTTCAAAGCTTGATAGATTCTCCATTGCGTCACACAAAATCTAAGCTGCCTTAAAAATGATGTAACTATAAGTTTCATGAATATGATACTATGGTTGTAGAAGATTCTGAAGTAGAGGTTTTTTTGTCCCTTGGAGGGCACGAAAGGAAATTCCTATAATTTTCGTGGAACATCGTGCGTACATAGGGAGGATGAGGAATGGAGGTTTTAGGTTCTTGGGAATACTTCCATTGGCGAAGCATTCCAAAACTTTCAAGGTTAACGACGAAGGGATCTGTTGACTTGAGCCTGTCGAGTTCTTTTGATTGGTATTGCTAGTGATGGAATTATAAAAAGGTTTCTGAGGAATATTTTCCGTTAAAGTATCAATAGAAAAGTCAAAGATTTGGTCTAATGGGGTCAAAGAGTTGGTGCTGGTGTTCAGGGTTCAGCTGGAACAGACCACTAGATGTAATTAACTGAAAGTCCATCAAGTATTGCATCCATCTTACCTGATATTTTGGGAATTTCTCTCTCCATTTCAGTAAATGCGAAAACATGAGTATCATTTCAATATTTTCGTGTATATAGTGAGGACAAATCAGATACTTCGCCACAAAATATCCCTGCGTTTGAGAATATTCCTCTTAGAGTACCTAGAAGAAGAATTTAATTCATTGTCAGTGACACCTTGTTTTGACAACAATAACAAAATTCCATTCGACTAGAGTTGACTTCACAAACGTATATTATTTATATCTTGGTAGATTCGATAACATCAGACAACAAAAATGTCAAGTCACCAAAACTTATATTTTAGATTTTTGAAAAAATCCAGAATTGTTTTCTTACTACTAATTTTGACTCTGGGCTCCTCAATTGTTTGATTCTGAAATATTGAGGAACAATTTCTAATAGCTTTTCAATATCAAAACGGATCCTTCATTTTTCAATGTTTTTTTTGGCTCCGCATAGAAATACGCATGAAATATTTTTATTACTTCAGTGAATGATCAATGGATATCTGCAATTACATAAAAAATAATGAGACATGCACTGTCAAAATGTGTCATCCTATAGCGATCCTATCGGACACATCTGACCTCATGAAGTTTTTAGTCATGAGGAAAATTGGCAGCTCAAAAAATATTTATCCCTGAACTGACAATACTCGATTGGTTTGGCATCTCCCCTCATTTATATAATCTATAAAAGACCCGATCAGCCCAAACCGATCATAAGTTATCCCACTTTTCGACTATCGACACATGGCTAGGCCAGGCACTTCAAAAAAATGGCGTCCGCAAACAGCAACCTACGAATATAACTATGGAGTTGGCATGAATTTCTATCAGCCAATGGTAGACTTCATCGAAGAAAAAGACAGCGGCAGAAAAGTTGGTTTCCCCCACCTGCCTTGGAGCGATGAGCTAGGACTCGATCAGTTCAATCCCACGAGAATCAAGGCCTACTCTCATGAAGATCTATCGAAAGTATCCAGAAAAATAGAGGCTAGTGCCAAGGAGAAATTAAGGGACTTCAAGTCTAGTGCGAGTTCTAGTTTCGTGTTGAATAAATCTGTGTCAGCAGCATCCATAACGCAGAAAGTGAAAACGGAAACTAGGAAGAAGAAAGCTCTAGTGAGAGATATCAACAAGCTGAAGGACAGAATGTATGAGGATCTGGAAAATTATAACCCTGACAAGGACAAAGACATTGAGAGAAAGCTCTTCGCTTCACAAAAGTATCTGAGAGGTAAATCTGCCAAGCAAATAGAGGCACAACTCTTATCGGAAAGTGAAAGAGCCATCGCTGAAGCTGTTGAGCATGACATCAAGACAGCCCAGAAGAATAAAGTCCACAAAGTCCACAATGTTTACAATTATCGTGGACACATGAATCTGATGGACAGACGGATGCAAGTACAGCTCGAAGACAGTTTCTTTGAACCTCTGGATAATTTGAGCGAGGAACTGAAAAATTTCGACAAGAGATCGACCTATTACTTCATTGACAAAAGGTGACAATGAATTGTTTTATAATTGGTCGTTTTCCAAGTGACGTCAACTGGAAAGGGCACGGGCTATTATGCAACAGCTATATTGAGGTCTAAAAATAGGTGGTAATTAAGATTAATCCGTAGTAATAAAACTTATGCCAAATTTATTTATATACTGATGCACAAACCTTCATGGCTGAGAACAGATAGAGAGCAATGTATCGAACATTAGCTTTGTTCAATTGTTACTCCATCACTTGAAATATACCGAGATATCAGAAATATTCACAGTCGGAAACAATCACATGAAATTTTTCAGTATTGATATCAAAATACGAGATATTTGTATTGGTATAGGTAGATGGATGGTGACAGAAAGTTCAATTGTGTTCCAAATTTATTCTGCTTCTTCAAGGGTTTCTTGTTCATATCAACCCATTTGACTGAATTCCATATCTTGGGGATATAGCATAATTCTATCGATTGTCGTTTGAGTCATCAAGTACTCGTTATCACCTCGAAACATATTCTGCTTAGGTTAGGTTAGGTTAGGTCTTGGGTCTTGCTCAACTTGCAAGGATGAAATTGTTGTGCAAATCTCTGGCCTGCTATTGGAATTTCTCGTCAACTCTTATTCCTGTTGATTTCTCCTTGGAAAGAATTGCCAAGGTCGCAAAATGGCTCTAGCCTGATCAGTAGCGTTTATGCCTTCGTTCGTGCTAAAATGCATTATTCTTCATCTTCCTTTACTCCATGAGGTCCCGGAACGCAGAGGAGGAGAACTGCCTACTTAGATAATTCAATTTGTGCAGGATTATTAATTTTTCCCGTACCATCTTCAAGTTTATGTATGAATGAATCCGACTTCATCTAACTCTTCAAGCAGATATTTTTACCGCAGTGTGATCTGAGGTATGAGATTCATTTTAGAAGCTAAGATCAACGTTGAGTCAACCCCGTGGAAAAAACCTAACCCTTCTGGAAATTGCTTCATGTTATTTCTTCTTGCAGCAAGGCAACTAGCATCGAAATCGAGCAGCTCAATGCCCGAGTCGTGGAAGCAGAGACCAGGCTGAAGACCGAAGTCACCCGTATCAAGAAGAAGCTCCAGATCCAGATCACCGAGTTGGAGATGTCCCTCGACAGCGCCAACAAGATGAACATCGATCTCCAGAAGACCATCAAGAAGCAGTCCTTCCAGCTCACCGAGATCCAGGCTCACTACGACGAGGTGCAACGTCAGTTGCAGGTCACTTTGGACCAATTGACTGTCGCTCAGAGAAGGATTCAGGCTCTTACTGGAGAAGCTGAGGAGATCAGGAGCAACTACGAATCTGTGAGTTTCTTTTCTGCTGTTCGTTTCTGCAAATGCAATTTCTTTTCGAAAGTAATTACATAGGATCTTCCCATGCAATCCTTGAATACGTGCTGGATATGAAATGAAATGAATCGGTGATGCATTCTCAATTTTTATTTTAGGCTCTCCGTGGAAAGAGACAAGCCGAACAAATGTACGAGGAAGCAGGAACTCGCGTCAACGAACTGACCACCATCAATGTCAACCTTGCCTCCTCCAAGAGCAAAATTGAACAGGAATTGTCAGTCGTCATCGCTGATTACGAAGAAGTCACCAAAGAACTCCGTATTTCAGATGAACGTTACCAACGTGTACAGGTAATTAAATACATATGAATATAATCATGGAATAAATCATGAAGATAACTATCTTCAACTTATGAATCATTGGAAATATCACTAGCTGAATTTTTCATCAATTTAAAATATTTGATAACTCAATTCGATAAGTGGTGTTGAATTGTATGCCACGAGAGTTGATGAACATCATTATCTAAAAGACTAACTAAATATATCACAACTGAACTTCATCAAAACTGAAACGATCCTGGTAAACTTGGCAGAAGACCGAGGTCTCAATTGACTGAATTGAAAATTTTACAGGTTAATTTTTGTTCGAAGCAAGTGTCTTCTATCGCCTCCGTGGTCACATGACTATGCCAAGAGCTGGAGATGTGATTGGTCACGTGCAATATTAGAGACAATTTCAAATATGAATATCAGGATTACACAAACTGTTATTTTTTTTTTGAACGAAAATATTGTCAGAGAAAGTAAGGAAATACGATTATTTAGATATTCAAATTCAAATAAATGAATATAAGAAAATTGATGAAACGACCAAGATAATGTATTCCTCATTTTTCTCGTACAATATCTCGATGGAACATTCGCGTGGGCCGCTTTTTTCTAGATCATCCTGTCCACTTTTTCCGACATGGATTAGATGCTGAGAGATCATTCGTTCAAACTTTCCTTGGAAGATGACTTTTTCGAGACTTTTCGAGACAGTTTGGTTTGGTGGCGACTCGAAAGATGACACGTCTTGTGGCACTGACATCTCAGATATATAAATCAAAATGGTATGAAGGATGGTCTCAGTAGCAGAATCCAGTTCTTCAGAAAGTTTGCTACCATTTCTTGTAATTCTTTTAAATCTAGTGAGCCTTCTTGATTGTTGAGAGCAGATCTCTTATCATCAAATCCATTATTGTTCTAAGGTTTCACATTGTTGCTTCTATCCTTCGCTTCCGAGGTTCTCTCAAAGGAAACCAACTCATTATTTCCATCGTTTTTATTCGACAGCACTCCATCTAAATTCGACCTTTTTATACTTCTTGCTTCAGAATCGCTGCTATCAATCGTACTGTTGCTTTTCCGACCTTTGTTTCGCGTCCTTGCAACGTTCTTCTCCATCTCTTAACAAAATCGCGAGGAAGGATCATATCTTAGAAAAGAGATTTTTTCTGAACAATCTTACCTCCCTTGGCCTAAATGAACCTTCTTCATAGAAAGAATATTTTTTGGAAGGAGACTACTATTTAAAAACAATATAACTCAACTCTGCCTTAATGAACCTTCTTCCTATGAAGTATATATTTTTCAAACCCGGTCCTCCTTCATCTATCTATGTATCTATCTATCTCTCTGATGGAACATTAGCCTAAGCTACACTTTTATCGACATGGATTCGATGGTGGAAGTACCTTCGTAGGAACTTTCCTTGGAAGACGACCGGATACTATTTCGAGAACTGACAGTCTGGTTCGGTGGCGAATCGAACAAAGTCACGTCTTTTAGCACTGACTTCTCAGATATATCATGCAAAATGGTATGAAGGATGGTCTTGGTGAAACTTTGAGTGCTACAATTTTTTGCAATTCTTATCTGGTTTTTCCAGGCGGAGCTCAGACACACCGTGGAGATCCTCCACGAGGAGCAAGAGCGAGTGGTCAAAATCGAAGCGATCAAGAAGAGCCTGGAGATCGAGGTCAAGAACCTGTCCGTGCGTCTCGAGGAAGTCGAAGCCAACGCGATCGTGGGCGGCAAGCGCATCATCAGCAAACTGGAATCACGTATCCGCGACATGGAAGCTGAATTGGACGAGGAGAAAAGGCGCCACGCCGAGACCATCAAGATCTTGCGCAAGAAAGAGCGCACTGTCAAGGAGGTCATGATCCAGTGCGAGGAGGACCAGAAGAACATCGCTCTCCTGCAGGAGTCTTTGGACAAGTCCAACCAGAAGGTCGCTTTGTTCAAGAGGCAACTACAAGAAGTGGTGAGTAACTAATGATGGAAAAATATAGCAGGAAGTGAGGAGGATCGATTTTTCATGACATAAAAACAAAGAATTTTTGTTGAGAAAATGAGTTCAATCCACTTTTTGAAAATTCACGTAACCCTGACACGAATATAGATATCGATATGCGGTTATCATCATTCAGCTTGTCATGAGACTTGATCCTCGGACACCAACTTCAGTTTTCTTTTATCCTGTTCAAGAATAGGACTTTCTCCATCAAAATGGGACGACTTGACCCTGCTAGAACCTTCCTGAAATGAATTTGATTCAGGATATCGTATGGTCAAATCTTGGCAATAACGCATGAATGTTGACATATTGAATGACACCACACACGGCCTATTATAAACACCCATATTCGAATTTAACGATTTTCGTGTATCATCATCATCAGTATCTTCAAAATCTCTCGTCAGTAGGAATGCATATGATTGTTTTTATCACCAAGAGATGTATTTCCTTCGTTAATATTTTGTTAATATTCATTGTGTTTTTCAATGAATGAAGTATTCACTGCCTTGTCAGCTCTTAGATGTATAACTAGTTCACAAGAGTTCACTCATTTGTCTACTCTAAATAGTTTTTGAAACTTGGCATACATATGTATAGTTAGGTTGAAGCATAGATTGATGGTTGAAGATGACCTCATGTACATGTACCACAAGATTTCCCATTAATTATGACAGTTGTGGAGGATATTTTCAATCATAGTGATGCTGTTAACGTTCCAACTCTTTCTGTTTCAAGCCGGAGACGGTATACTGAGAGGAAGAAACGGGAGCCTTCATTTATATGTAAATAACCAAATCATCTCTGTTATTCTAGGAGGGTGTATCCAGCCAGAGCGTAACCCGCGTGCGCCGTTTCCAGAGGGAGCTGGAGGCAGCCGAGGACCGCGCCGACACGGCCGAGAGTAACCTCACCATGATCCGTGCCAAGCACCGCACCTTCGTTACCACCAGCTCTGTGCCCGGCTCTCAGGTCTATTTGGTGCAGGAATCGCGAACATCCGAAATGTAATCGCCCTGTAGCATCATCGGCTAAGCGCCCCTCCGCATGTCGCCTTTTATTGGTTTCATCAGACATCGAGGCGGTCAGAATATTATCCATTTATTATCTCTTTGTGCACATAATTTATTGAAAAGAATATATCTATATACCATTATCTTCGATATAATATACACATAAACGAAACATACACATTTCATATGATAGCACCAGCTGAAATTTTTGTAGGCAAGGACGTATGTAGGTTTCAGATTCACAGCTGTATTTTTCTGTTAGAGGTGCCAATGACAATGTTACTCGTAAGTTTGAATGTACCGTGTAAGAATAAATTGCTTATAAATAAATATTATGTATATTTTTATTCTTGAGAATTCATATATTTTTCCGTCATCATTCATATAAATTCATATAGATTAACCAGTCACATGACAAATGCTATCACCACCAGCTCTGTGCCCTGCTTGCAAGTCTATTTGGTGCAGGAATCGCGATCATCCGAAATGTAATCGCCCTGTAGCATCATCGGCTAGCCGACCCTTCCGCATGTCGCCTTATTGGTTTCATCAGACATCGAGGCGGTCAGATTATTATCCATTTATTATCTGTGCACATAATTTATTGAAAAGAATATATCTATATACCATTATCTTCGATGGGGTGATCCACTAGTGGTGGTAATACATCAGGAAATTCAATGAATCAATAAGCATTTTTTCTGAAATGAAGACATTGAATTATACCAGCGAACAAAATATTTATTCATCATCATTACAAAATTTCTTCTCATGCTGTACTTATATGAATAAATATTTGGTAACTAAAAACCAAGATTTTTAAATAGTATCGTTTGGTGTGGGTGAAGAAATATATATTCTCATCAATAAATGAATATTATCATGGAATAATCATGATTTAACCATGCACGAGGCTTATTCATGAGGGTTGTGAACAAATAATTTGTTTATTTCAAACAAACGTTCAATAAGCTATATTTCAATATCGGATTCGGTAACAGTTGAGTAATCATATTTATTTATAGTAAACAAACTGTTCTTTCAGTGGAGGATCAGTTGGTCAGTGAGTTTAATGTTATTATCATTATTAGTCATCGATAAATCATTTGTTCGGAAATTAATCGGTTAGCAGTATGATTCAACTTATTAGTCATTCATTCGGGATTATTGGTGATGAATCAAGACAGTTTTATATCAGATGTCAACACGTACAGTCGAATTTTGTGATCGGCATTGAAAAATACGCGCACGGAATTATTTATGGTACACACTGATTGTTCCCTAAAAAATGAGTGATCGTATTGATTTGTATATAGTGTTTTTGTATCCCTAATTCGATTCTATAACAATATCGGGATCGTGTGTGTTCTAGTGTTTCGTGTTGTTTCATCAGAGCTTCACTTTTTTCACGCTCGTGAGTGTAGAGAAATCTTCTAAATTTTTCCTCAAATTTCCCTGTATTATTTAATTTCTTTACCCTATATTATGTTTTATATCGTTTGCTGCATTAGTTTCCGATCAAGGCATACTTTCTTCTGATATTCGTGTTTTCTGTTCGGAACTGTATTTTTCAAAAAGAAAATAATGCGAAAAGAACAAACCAGGATAAAATAGGACGATTCGAACATTTTTCATGAAAAAATATTTTTTTCGAGAGACTAGTGGTTCCAGTTACCCCCTATCGATGTGTCTACCATATGTTATAACTGTGATACAGAACGAGATCTTGATTTTGCAAAATCTCCATAAATAGGTCAGGTCATAACTTTTGAACCATTGTGAATAATCGACTCATACTTGGTATATTCAACTCATATTTCTCATCAAAACTAAATAGGAATCAAATTCAGAATGCGGATCCGTCTTCAGGCAGAACAGAAAACTTCTTCTTTTTTCAACAGCGTGCATCCAATTTGAAAATGATGATTTTTATTGAACTCGTAATTTTCAAAATCCAATTTTATTTCAAAAAAATAACCAGTCCTCAAATTTCAACTTAATTAGAGCCGAATTAGGATGGATTTCGTTCCATAAAATAATTTGTCAATTAGATTTATATATTTTTGAGTTCTCATTTCATTTTCACACACACAAATGTCAAATTGGATGCGCGCTCCTAAAAAGTAGGCCACACTGTTCATTATTTCCCTACTCTTTCTAGTTATTAAAACATATCTAGAGATTTTGGGAAAGATCATATTTTCAGCCAAACCATTAGACTCTCGAAAATAATGCTGGCAGTATATCCGTGTTCAATACTTCATGTTATATTTTGTAAACAATATATCTTGCCCCCCCCGTATAATTCCATTATCATCATAGTCATAGATTTTCCCCGGTATTATTCTATTATCATCATTAGTCATAAATAAATGATTCGTTCGGAAATTAATCGGTTAGCAGCATGATTCAACTTATTAGTCATCCATTCGGGACCATTTGGTAAATCAAGACAGTCTCATATTAGATGTCATCACGCACGGTCGAATTTTGTAATAGAATTATTTATCGTTCCAAACGGAGTGTTCTCTAAAGAATGAGTGATAGTTCTGTGTTTTTGTCGCGATTGTCTGTTGTTCTGGTGTTTCGTGTTGCGGAAAATCGAAGATTCCAAGCAATGGAATTGCAGAAATCATTTTTCATTTATTCACGCTGGTGAGTTATTTAAATTTTTTTTATTGAGTGTTAGTATAATCTGATAGGTGATACCTAGGTATTTTGAGCCGACACCACTCGATACATCTGGAAATCTTAGAGTAGATACTCCTTTGGTTTATTTTCACTACGTGTGACCAATGTTGCGGTTTATATACGTAGTTTTTGTGAGAAATTTATGTGATTAGAACGAACCCGAGAAAAATTTGTCAATCCCTATCGCAGAAAGTGGGCACGATTCTTTTGACAGTGCTAGGCTAGGTACCGCAACTGCCAATTTTTACCTGTGATTATAACGGAGAAATTTTCGAGATCGTCAAAATTTCTTTGAAATGGTCACAAACGAATTGTCAAACTCTTATTATATCCATATACTTCGATTGGAAAATTGTCCGGAAATACCCTGTACTATTTGTATCATTTTCTATTGTATATTATTTTTACCTATATCCAGCCCGCATTCCTGGATATGGTGATTATTCATAGGCTTGTTCGCGTTAATAATATAAACAGTCCGAAATCATCAGGAGCACGCGCAGTTTCACAGAACAGTACGCATTTTTCAAGTTCCGTGGAACTGCGCATGCTTCTGATGGTTTTGGACTGTTTATTTTTCGAACACGAACAAACCTTATATAAACTACGCAACACTTATTTCGTCGCACCCCAAAATCTTGCCCCCCTGTTAAAATATGAATAACTCTTTTCTTCTTTGAAAAATTTGTATTCGGTTCACACTGTTCGCTAGCCTAGTCCTTCAGCTATAAGGTCGTACCTCTTTGAAACATGAGGTTCTTTACATAAACTCGCAACAGGGTGTCACCTGAAACTGTGAAAAATTTTGGAATTCTCAAAATAAACAAAAACTTGTTTTTTCTACTTTGACAGCAGATTACCTTGGGACATTTCTCAAATTGTCTCATTATCTCTTTTACTTACAGAGTGATATCAAAAAATTAACTTTCAGGTTTTGCAGTCATAACTTTCTTCCTTGTCAACCGATTTTTGAAATCTCAGGCTCATTCTGAAAATGAAACTTCAGGTGCAGAGATATCAAGATCAGAAGTGATTCAAGATGAACATTGCACAGTATGTCTCACTTCTAATCGAAGCATCCCTGTATCTTTCGTATTTGTTGAGTTAGGATTCTGAAATTTGCAGGAGCGGTAGATATATAATGAAAATACACACTATGACCAAGTGGAGTCATCTTCAGTGAGTGGACTAATGTTTTTTATTTCTTAAATAGAATCATCACTCAAATAACTTTTGATTTTATATATTTTTAGAATTTTTCGTTCGATTTTAAGTTGCTAAGATCAACAATAATGCCACGGTAATTTTTGAACGGTTAAAAATTTACCGCGAGTAAAAACAGACGTCACGATTTCGTAAGTAGAAACAGACCATACAACAGTTGCCATATGTTGAAATACTATTGGAACTACAGAAATATCAGTTATTCAATAATTCATAAATTCTCAATTTCGTATTGGTAATATTCCTAACTAGACATAAAAAATCAATTGTCTCAAAATATTTCCTCATCTGTTGTGGCTTATTGCATATAATACATTCGTGTTAATATTAATATTATTATATTGATTCACACCAGAGGGCATTTGAGGGTAAACGTGACAACACGGCGCACGAATTGTGGGCGGTGCCTTGTCAGTTCTCAGCATTTAACACATTGTTGCCGAGTCTTCTACATCAACATGATATTTTGTTATGGAGTATAAGAGATATTCAGGCATGTTGGTTGCTTGAGATAGTTGATGAATTGATGAATTACAAAAATATATCGCGTTCCAGTTACGGATGTTGAAAAAAATATCCAGACTTTTCATAGATTTATATTCTATGTAGGTCTCACGATTCAAATTCGAAATTGATACTCAGTTTTAGATCCGAGCAGTACATTATTGTTTGACCTTCAAGGTTCTTAATATAACGCACGTAATTAAAAATGTGGAAGATGCCTACTGGCTAAACCACTATTCGGAAAGATTGCGGATATGTAGCAATCCAGTTACGGACGATGAAAATATCATTCAGGTATGTCTCAGTTAAATGTACTTCGATTAATATGTGATGTTTAGTTGCAGATCCGAAAAACAGTATTTGATACTTGCCACTCAATCGGAGAAAACCACCCAGTCCAGACGAACCGAACAGAAGATCCGCAAAGAGAACTGACCAGAGTATAATTTACAGAATTCAGATCCTCAATTCGTACGGAAGGCGATATATTGATTTCCTCTCCAGATTCTCAAGGAAACAGATAGACAGATATTCACCTCTATGTCTCTATGGAAACACGACAGGTACCCTTACGAGGGGAGAGTATCAACTCGGTGTTTATAAACCCTCTCTGCAAAGGAGGTAGGCGCATGGTGGGTTAGGTATATACAGTGTTCTTCATTGCAGAGAAAATTGTTGTTTATCTGTCTGCCTCGTCTTCATTGAGATAGTTGATGAATTGATGAATTTCAAAAATATATCGC